TGCGATAGGGATGGAGAAAATTTGAAACAATTGTAAAACACTTCAAATAAAAGAAGCGAAACAATAACATTCTTTTGACAGGACGTAATCAATTTAATGTCATAGCTGACCAATTCCTGTGAAGCATTTAATGCGTTTTTGATTATTATTGTTTACTGTTCTACTACAAAAAATTAATACTAGTGTCATAAGGAGTTTAGTAGGAAATTATCCAAAAACTATAAATATGTTAACAGCTAATACTACCTACTGTCCTACCTTGGAAAGTTAATACTTAGTTTAAAATAACATTCCAGCAAGTTCACCTAAACACAGTGAATCTGTTACCAGCTAATACTACCTACCGTCTTAGCTGAAAAGTTAATACATAGTGTTAAAATACGATTCACAGCAAATTCATTTAAAGACAGTGGATATGTTACCAGTTAACATTACCTACTGTCGTACCTGAAAAGTTAATACTTAGGGTTAAAATAATATTCACAGTAAATTCATCTAAACATAGTGACTATGTTACCAGTTAACATTACCTACTGTCCTACCTGAAAAGTTAATACTTAGGGTTAAAATAATATTCACAGTAAATTCATCTAAACATAGTGACTGTGTTACCAGTTAATATTACCTACTGTCCTATCTGAAAAGTTAATACTTAGGGTTAAAATAACATTCACAGTAAATTCATCTAAACATAGTGACTGTGTTACCAGTTAATATTACCTACTGTCCTACCTGAAAAGTTAATACTTAGGGTTAAAATAACATTCACAGTAAATTCACCTAAACATAGTGACTGTGTTACCAGTTAAACGCCTACTTTCCAAACTGAAGAGGAGTGTACTAATGTTGATTGAAATCAGATTTATAGAAAATTTGTTTGTTACTTGTTAAGGTATAAATTTTTGGAAGATGTTTCAATATTTATTTGGATGAAGAGTTTCTGCGTAGTATAAAAAACCGCCAAATTATAGAAACAACTCGCTTCTTTAAGTCTCAATATTTTTATAATAGTGATATATACATAGGGGTGTTTGTTGTGGATTAATGGGTACGTCTGCTACTTAAAAGTTATCGTAAACCAAAGACGATTGAAATAAAACCATGAATATGAATGAATACACTTGTTGAGCGCAGATTAAAATGTACACAGTTTTGAAAACCAGATTGAAATATATTAAACGAGTCTTGGAAACTGATTTAATAATACGGCTTAGCCGCAATGGCTCTTCCAAAAATAATATTAGGAATATGATATATTTTAACGGTTTGTTATATTCATTTATTATAGCTTTCATGGTACCATTCCAGGCTCATGATATTAGAAGGGTTGATTAGGTGAATAAGATCTAGCTAAAGGATAATTAATTTTATTAACTTAAATAATGTTTATATTATTAGTAGTAATTTTTTATTGAGTGGTTTTATAAAGATTAGACTTTTATAGCCTTCATAATAATTATAGCTTCAATTAATAATTTACAAGTTACAATTTAAGATCTGGTCTATAGATATGGAACTATTGTGTTAATAAACAATATAAAATGACAAATTTAAAGGGAAAGATTCAATTTAGTAGCAATTGAAAGAACATTTTCAAAATACAATGGCTTTCTGATATCTTGTTCATCTCTTTTGATAAGGCAGTTGAAGATACAGTAAATTATCTGCAACAACAGACAGGAAGATCTGGTAATAAGTTGCAAGCAAACGGTAAATCATCCTTCTGGCTTTATTCCAATAGTCGCGAGTGCTCGTCGCTGTCACAACTTTCCTGATAAATTTATGCAATAAAAAGGTTTATTAAAAATCGTCTTCTAAAGTTCGTCAACTGTTTTATGTGAAGTTCTGAAAAAAAAATACTGTTAAATAAATTATGGGGAATGATATATGATATTAGAAATGGATTTAGCAAAGATCAAAACACAACGCGCATTTGGAATTAGAAACTGTTTCCCTATTCTTTAGGATTTTGATGTTTACTCACTTTTGTTGTCCTGTAATGTAACAGCAGAATTAAGTTTTCACAGTATCGTATAAAGAGGTTGAAAGACAGAGAGTTTTATTTGTTTCAGATTTTCACGCAAAGCTATACAAAAACTATTCGTAATTTTGAACTGGGAGACCACAGGGAAAGCAGCTTGGTAACAGCACCCACCACCAAGATTTGGGCTACTCTTGTCTAACTGCAAGGGGACGCAACCGTAACTGTCATGTTTACAGTCCTGTACGTTAACCACTGGGTCGCGCTTGACCCAGATAAACAGATATAAAAAGTAACAAACAATAATACAGGCAAATGGATAGTCATTTACAAAGAATCAGATAAATATAGTAAGATGAGTAGAGAGAGACACATACCCAGGCAGAGAGAAGAGCATATAGATTTCGAGAAACACAGTGCACCAGAAAGATATAAATAAAGACAGATAAACAGAGTATCAGATGGAGATAACTAGAGAAATGACTAAACTTGTAAAGCCCCAAAATGCATATAATAAACATGCATAGAAGCTATTTTATGACGTCCACTGGCGCACCCAGTTTCGAGACACTGTCCAGCGCCTCTAACTTCCTCCCTAATAGATCACGTTCGACTGACAGTTCCCCCTGGCGTGTTAATGTTGAAATAAGGCGAGACAAGCAAATTCGTTTATATTGTGACTGCATATGCCTTTTCTCTCTCTCTCTCTCGCTGAGCTAGTATCTGCCGGGGGGGGGGGGTTATTGAATGTCGGAGTTGACAGATGGGTGACGATGTAATTGACAGAGTAAGACCTGCCCTGAATGATCTGTAGAGCTACCAAAGAAGCATCGTAACCCAAGGCTACGTTGTGAGCAGACAGACTGTCAGGTAGATAGTGCTGACAAATGGCCATTCAAAAGACAAAATAACGTAACTGATATGAAAGTTTTTTAATCACGTTAAATCTTCTGAAGAAACATTCCCATACACTAAATATATTGCAAATTGGACAAAAAAGGCACGATTGGAGAGGAAAATGACGAGTCGCTAACAAAAGGCCAGACATTCATATTAATATGCATAGAAGTGAATGCATATCAAATTCGAACTAATTACAACAGAAGAATGTTTGCACACTAAATTTCTCAGTAATTAATGTTAGAATTATTTTCGAAACGTGTATCGTGGTAAAATGTTCTATATTAAATTAATCTGGCCAATCGGAAGCGAGAAAAATACTTTTATTGAGAATCGAATGAAAACGTTCGTACGTTTTTAAAATAAATTTTATATATAGGACTCAGACTACCATATAAAACTCTTGGATTCAAAATAAATCTACTGATTATAAATAACATTCATAGCTTAAAGCCCCATCCCCAGTGGTTCAGCGGTAAGTATGCACACTTAAGACGCTAAACACTTTGTAGCTTTGTGCTTAACAACAATCAAATGGTAGAGTAAAATTTGTTTTATCATCCAGCAAAAATAATTTTCGCGAGGTGGAAAAATATAAACAGATGAACAAAACTTCATTGCCAGTTAAACTATTTTCATAAGCTATGCTTTGTTTTCTTTGAAACGCTATATCAAACAAACAAAAATATATGATATTTCGTATTGTGTGTTATTTTACACCCCCCCCCTTCACAAACCCCTAAATACTGTTTCAAAAGAATGCAGCTGTGGCCATCAACAAAGGTTCATTAGAATGAACACGATATCGGTGTGCAAGAGATATATATATATATACATTCTCAATCAGGCCAGTAGGCGATGTTAGTAGCAGGTTGAAATTATACTTGCAAGTGATTGTGTTTTGAAAACCTAGTTTTGGATATCGATGAAAGGAAGGATGTAAGAAATAAAGAATAAGCAAGCAAAAGAAAGAACAGATGAAAGAAAGAAAAACAAAGAAAGAGCAGCAGGAGAGGAAACAGGACCTGACACCTACGTGTAATTTGTTGTTTATAAGACGAAGGAAAAACGATCGTCTTTTCGTGAACAATGAGCCCTTCGATGACGATCCCGTCGCATGCACTGAAGAAATCCACTCCGCCCTAAACGAAGTTTCCATGTCAAAGAATGAGGATACGAGGTTGTTTAACCCTATTTTCCAACATCCTAAAACTGATCCACCCTTTCATAGTTAGGTGGTTTCCTGTCAGAGCCTAACTAAAGCCACCCTAGGTCACTCAGGTCAGTTCGTTTTGAAAGGACTTTATGATAGATAATAAGTTGGAATGTAGCTGCTACAGTCCTTGTGTGTATTGCATAATTTTCAGATCGAAGCACATGTACTGTATCAAGTCAAGTTCGTGCTTATGAAATTATTTACGATTACATATACATACATACATACATATAAACACAAAGGCAGTGTTTTCAAAACAACTTATAAATAACTCTATGAGTAACAATTATTTTCAATTATACACTCTATATACGCCAAAAATGTAGAGATATACAGACCTTCAAGTAAATAACAATGTACATTATAGGTAAACCTTAACATTATATACAAAATATTTTATAAATTTAGTCTTTCAGGATTATGCATAGATCAATCCACAAGTCATATATGGTTGAAATGTATCAAGTTAAAGCACATAATAAACTTTGTGAACATAATGTTTCATGTATTGAATACGAATGTAAAAAAACGAGACCACTAATTTATATCTGCGTATAACATGATTTCTAGAACGAAATTTAAACGTTAAACATGATTTACAGGACGAAACTTAAATGCTAACAAGACTTACAAGACGAAACTTAAATGTTAACAGAGCACATTGTGATTTTATCTACAGATTCATGGTGAAAACTATAAGAACACTTTACATAACCCACTTCTAAACAAGTTCTGAATATGTCCCAGCAACGTATACAATAACGGCTACTAACAGTAGTACTTAATAACAATTGGTTAGAGGTATCAAAAACTATATCTCTCAAACCAATTGAATCTTCGCTTCATTTTATTTGAAAAAATAAATCCACAGTAAACTTACATTGGCTGGAGAACACACCATACCTGAGAATAAACTGAATATTTCTCATCCCCAATTATAATCTCCATATAGCTTCTCCTTGACACCTGTAAGGGACGTTATTTTTAATTGGCTTTTCTACCGGTTGTCGACCAGTAAATACATTATATGATGATGGTGCTCAACGTCATTAGAAGTATGACTGATATGCAAGCAGGACGTAGCTGAATGTAAAAAATATATATATACAAACAAACAAAACAAATACATTATAAGTTACATATGCAAATAAAAACACATTAATTATGTAACATTTGACGGAACAGGAAAAAGAGACACTCTGTCCTTGACATAATGAGTACATTTTACCATAATATTTGTATAGACTAATTTAGGATTATAAGCAACTTAGACTTTAGGTTAAAGACACATATAATGTCTCTCCTATATGATATCGATGTATTGGAGTTTTGATATATATATTTATATATATATATAAACCAATCAATGTAAACACTGTTACATATTGGATTTGCATTTTAATATAGTACACACATATTATCTGATCCTCTAATAACGTAATACTACAGGTAATATTTACTTCATTTACCAATATTCAAAACATTATAGGTAATAACTAAAATCAATTTTGTAGATAAAGAACTCAATATGTGTGTGCGTGTATGTTGGTCTGTTGATATTTAGAATTATACGCAATATATCCTGTACGTTTAAAGACGTTTACAAATAATGTTGAGATAACGTGTACATTTTTCATAATTAAGGAATTCATACGGTTTCTCTGAATTATACTTCCCTAAAAGTTATATGCCATTCAACAAAATACAATTCTACATACTTTCATTGTATGCTATGTGTTCACATATTCCACATTTAACCAATAACTGAACTTTCATAATATTTAGTGAGCTGAAGATGGGAGCATTTTTCAATGCCATATGGGTTTTCCAGAATAGACAAAAAAACAAAACATTTTGTATACATACATACATATTGGTGTGAAATAAGAAGAGGCAACAGTTATAACAATTGTTTCATATTCCACTTTAGGTAATTTTAGAATTGAACTTAAAACTAAACTACGAGGACAATGAACGATGGAAAATCCTGTTTGTTTTACGTTTCGAAGGCTCACATTGCTCAAGTTGACCACTCTTCTTGCCTCTGAGCCGCATATTGAGACAGCAAATGCGAACGAGGGCTAAATATGAGCACAACGTTGTACTTGTGAAAGCTAATAGCTAATTTTAATACGATGTTTCTTCTTCCATTTAAGCATTTCTGCTAGAAGAACGCAGTAGATCAAGTTTAATTTGGGAGTAAAGTTTGTAAATTCAATTTGGAGTAATTTTTGTTTTGGGGTGAATTTTTCTTTTTGAATTCACATTTCATATTTTAAGCGTTGTTTTTTTTTTCAGCGCAAACCTACACAATGGACTAATTTTCGTTCTGTCCACCAAGTAGAATCGAACCCTGTATTTTAACGTTCACTTACCGCTGACCCACAGGGGGGATATATTTTAGGTGAGCTATCAGTATTTCATTGCTTTAGTATCAAACTTCATTTAAGTCTATCTGTCTTTCTCTCTACCTATCTATCTATCCATCCATCATCCATCTGACTATCTATGAGACATACCATAAATGTTAAAAATACAATTCAAGCTAGTTTTTTCATTCATCATTTCACATACAAAGAACTAAAGCTGTAATTTTGGATTATCCCCATTGTGTTATGTGAAACAGACTGAAAGATAAATATTATAAAACCTTTACAGTATAACGGTAAAAGCGAAAGACATTACGTTGATATACCGCTCCCGAATGGTTCAGAGGTAAGTTAGTAGGCTTATAATCCAAAAAAATGTGGGTTTCGATACCCGTGATTGTCACAGCACTGATAACCTACTGTGTAGCTTGGCGGTTAACAACAAACAAAGAAAAAATAAGATATCAACAAGCATTAATATATATTTACTGCATTATTTAAATGGTATTTAATTCGAATACTCATCTCAAGACATGTTGGTGAAAATTGCCTGTCTGACCACCTGACCACGCATTCATTCTTCACTCTCGATGAAACTAGAAAATTGGGTTATAATGATAGTTTCTTGTACATAAAAAAAATCTAGGTGACACCACCTGCAGCGATGAGCTACAAACACGGAAATTAGAAATGTAAAACATAGTAACCCATAATAAGTTCACTAGAAGTAGCTCAGTAAAAAGAAAAGATTACACCAATAGCCATATAGTTTAAGAACTACAAGATAGAGAGAAGGAAAACCAAGAGACACTTACCGGAATTCCAAGTACAGTGTTTCAAAAAGGCGTTACGGCTCCCAAACGACGCTCCTCCATAAACTCTACTTTGCCAGTTGACCAGGCCCTCTAAATACAGGACTAGGCTCCTCGAACTATGTGATTTGTGATCTCATTTGGCCAAGCTGAGCATTAGCAATTACGTAATGACACCGTAGAGTCTTGCTCAGAATCTCTCCGACCGGTATTTTGGGCCGGAGATTATAATGTTTGTTAATGGGCTGCATTGTAAGGCGAACTAAGGTCAGTTTAAACTAGGGTTTAAGTTTATTACAACATTATTGTTCAAGCCAGTCTTGTTCGTGTTTTTTCATATCAAATAAAAAAACTCGTGGACCATTGTTATTCTCTCAAGGTTGGGTTGTGTTTTACATCCTATTTTTTTTTTCTTTCTTTGCTACAAACGAGCATGAGATTTGCGTGTAGATTGGGAGACATCGTACAACGAATCAAAAGTTTAAGCACATCTTAATTTGGGGCATTTTCAATCATTAGCAGTTGTTAAGAATAAACTACTTGGCGTTTCTGTACTTTTGAAAACAAACCTTCCACATTTTAAAGAGGGTGGTGTCCACGAAAGGGACACAATAGCTTCATGGATTAAAACACAGGTTTCGTTGGGACTTGACGTAACATATAGTAAAAGTTGTCTTTACCGTCATCTTTGTAATTCTATCTCTTCATCACGGGTTACAAAAAAAAAACTGAAAGATCGCTTTTAGATAACTATAATTGTAGGTTTTTCCGGGGTTCGAGGGTTAGGGCTACAACAGATGTGATAGTATCTCTTTTGATTACAATTGTATGAACAATGTAAGTGCAGAGGGTAATACATATGATTTATTTAAAGTAGTAAATGAACCCTTTGCCTTGTCAAACCCTCTTCTAGGTATAGATCAAATGTATCTTGCCATGCTAGAGTAATTCCTGAAATTATTTGCAATTGTTTATGAAAAATGTTTTATTTTTGTTATTACAGATTTTGTAAAAGTGAAAGTATTCGAATAAAACGATTATACAGTTAAATGATTTACTTCACCAACGTTTCGCTGAAGCCGTAAATGTTGAAATATGTATTGATAAAGTTTGCAGATATTGTGTTATTTTTTACTTCACCAACGTTTCGCTGAAGCCGTAAATGTTGAAATATGTATTGATAAAGTTTGCAGATATTGTGTTATTTTTTACTTCACCAACGTTTCACTGAAGCCGTAAATGTTGAAATATGTATTGATAAAGTTTGCGGATATTGTGTTAATTTTTACTTCCCCAACGTTTCACTGAAGCCGTAAATGTTGAAATATGTATTGATAAAGTTTGCAGATATTGTGTTATTTTTTACTTCCCCAGCGTTTCACTGAAGCCGTAAATGTTGAAATATGTATTGATAAAGTTTGCAGATATTGTGTTATTTTTTACTTCATCAACGTTTCACTGAAGCCGTAAATGTTGAAATATGTATTGATAAAGTTTGCAGATATTGTGTTATTTTTTACTTCACCAACGTTTCACTGAAGCCGTAAATGTTGAAATATGTATTGATAAAGTTTGCAGATATTGTGTTATTTTTTACTTCACCAACGTTTCACTGAAGCCGTAAATGTTGAAATATGTATTGATAAAGTTTGCAGATATTATGTCATTTTTTACTTCATCAACGTTTCACTGAAGCCGTAAATGTTGAAATGTGTATTGATAAAGTTTGCAGATATTGTGTTATTTTTACGCGTTACTTCAATAATTAATAATAAATTTTAAATATCTTCCCTGAAAAACCTTTTCAGAAACCTCTTCAATACTCCGCAGTTATTTACCATATCCTTGCTAGAAACCACCTTCACAGTCTCTCTGAAACCTAATAAATCCGCGGTACACACTCTGGGTGCATAAGTAGAGTAAGTAATAATACTACTACTAATAATACTCAGCAAACAGTAAATAATTATCCTACCAATAAGACTCTACAAATGCAATGACAGAAAAACAATACAGTAGGTAGTTGGGTTGAGGCTTATTTACGCTACTAAGTGGTCTCATCACTTACGCTATGTGTAGACTTAAAGCAAATGAGGAGGGTTCCAAGTGGAAATCTTCTCAACGGTAGCCTCAAGTACAACAGTGTTAACATCAATTTCCTCTTGTAACACAGACGGTCAGAGGAGATGAAATCTACAGGCAGTTAATTCCTTCATTTATTCGTTACTGTTGCAGAACTGTCCCAAACAAAGTTCGAGTTTGACAAGCCTCTGATTTACACTCTTTTTTTCTTTTTTTCGAACCCTTAGAAGAAGTTTGCAACCAGTTTTTAGCGGTAGGGCACCGCGAACATTCTCTCTTTCTACGGCCCTGGTTGACGCTCGTGTTTTTGGATGAAGGCACGCGGTCTTTAGCCACACCTGAGCGCCGTATCTTTCTTAAATTACCTGGAGGCATCTTGAGAGGTGAGACGCCGCATAGTTATGACTCTGGTATGTAACACAAAATCCAAATCGAAACACGAACTACAAGTAGAAAGTTCGCATAAACAAGTGTAGAAAAAAGTCATATGCACCAAAGTGAATGGACAACATATTCTAATTAAAATTCAGTTCTTAACCAGTTGTTTTATTCTTACTGTAATTTCGTCATTTTTTTTTAAGTAGTGATTTATAATAGACTAATACAACTTCAAGTACATAACATCATAAAGAAATCCTGCCAATTCAAACCATAAATACATAAGTTAGAAATGGAAATAAAATTACATTACAAACCATTTTCATAACTTTTTAACGACGTTTATTAAAATATTAATTTTTATGATAAAAAGGATGGAAAATTACATCTCTAACGTTAGGTAAAAATGAAGTAAATAACTTTTATTTACTCGTACTCCTGTAAGTTTGTAACTATTTTATGTTAATGATGGTAACATCAATTGTTTTTCACAGGTAAAAACCTAAAATTGTACTTTTCTAATAAAGCTTAAATCTAAGAAAAAAAAATTATATTAAGGACACTGTACTTAGATCAAGTATCATATAATCAATGTAATAACTGATGATTTGAGTGGTGATAAGTTTTATGTTTTTGTTCCTCTGTTCATGTAGTGTTGACATATTGAAACCTTTTAAATATTTTGCACTATATGATGATGGCATGCGAATGTGGATTATAACTCTTATATTTTTCTTCTCCCTTTTGATTCATGTTAATGTGGTGAAACTTTTTACTTAGTTTCAAAAGGTAAGTTGAAATACACTTAACAACTGCCATTAAGGTAAATATTTTTCGTTAGCTCCACATGTGTAACTTTTATACTGAAACGAAACATCATTGTCATTGTTTGAGTAAAAATGAAACGATGTGAAATGTAAGAAGCATCAAGCTAAGAAATAAACGTTTTATTTTCAAACGTTACTTCATGCAACGCCACATGTTCAGGTTGACCTTGTTTGGTAGAAACGTAATAAAAATTTTAAGCATGTTAAAGTTCAGGGTTTGACTTGCCACGCCCTTACTCTTGGAATCTTGACACATGTACTGAAATATTTCTATAGGTTCTGAAGAGGTAGTTCAGTCCACTTCTGAGATAAATATGCAAACATCTCGGTAAAAATGTAGGGAATTAAGCCTTGTCAACATGTGCTTGTGTGATGATACCCTTAAGTATAATTACGTTTGACTTGGAAATTATATACATAGTTCCAAGAAGAGAAAAAAAAACAATGAAGTACAAGTTTAAGGCATAGAATAGTGTAGTATTTTAAACGTCCAATTACAAAACTATTCCAGTGAGGTAAGACATAGCGATGTACCAGTGTAAGGCGTAAAATGGCATAGTACTTTATCAACTAATAAACTGCTATAGAGAGTTAAAGCTCAGGGGTATATCAGTACCAGACACTGAATAGTAATTTTTTACAAGCCTATTTTATTCGTCTTAGGGTTCTGTTGTTGTTGTTATTGTTTGTAAGTCTATAGAGTGCTGTTGTTGTTGCTTGTAAGTCTGTAGAGTTCTGTTGTTGTTTGTAAGTCTATTCTTCTAATTCTTTAAGATTAGTGTTATGTATATGTTAGTAGTGTTGGTTATAACACTATAATTTTTTACAAGCCTATTTTATTCGTCTTAGGGTTCTGTTGTTGTTGTTATTGTTTGTAAGTCTATAGAGTGCTGTTGTTGTTGTTGTTGCTTGTAAGTCTGTAGAGTTCTGTTGTTGTTTGTAAGTCTATTCTTCTAATTCTTTAAGATTAGTGTTATGTATATGTTAGTAGTGTTGGTTATAACACCTTTCTGTTAAATTCCTTCAATAATATTGCATCATTTCTGGTATAGTGAATGTTCGCTCTGTTTTGAATTTCACGCAAAACTACTTTAGCAGTGATAGACTAGTCAACACCAACCACCACCAACTGTTAGGGTACTCTTTTACCAACGAATAGTTGGATTGACCGTCATATTATAACACACCTACGGCTGACAGAACGAGCATGTTCGGTAACGGAGATTCGAACCCGCAACCCGCAGATTGCGAATCGAGCGTCTTAACTACCTGCTCATACTAAGCCTTGTTGATTTGGGTAGAAAAGTTCTGTCCTTTGTATTATTAAAGTAAATAAAAAAATAAAAACCATTGAGTTTGTTTTTTTTTGTTTTTTTTTAATTATGCACAAAGCTACACAAGGGCTATCTGTGCTCTGCCCACCACGGGTATCGAAAACCATTGAGAGGCACACATAAAAAATAACTCATTATATATTCCTAAAGTTTTCAAGAAATTAAAATAATTAACTTGTATGTTACAGAAGTAAAAACAAAAACAAATTGTTTGTTTGTTTTAGAGCAAAGCCACATTGAGCTATCTACCGTCCCCACCACGGGGAATCGAACCCCGGATTTTAGTATTGTGAGTCCGCAAAGTTACCGCCGTCCCATCTGAGGATGAGGAAAAAAAAATAAAGTAAAAAGTTTAATCTTATTTTTAATTCTTCAAAAGTATAGAATAATTTTTTTTATTGTTCTTCGAAAAACAATCAAAACATTTTTGGATCTATAATAACATCTATAAATTCAGCATGCATCGTAAAGCGCTTCTCTGTATTTTGATTTCGACCAACATGAAATAATTAGCGTATAGATGTGAAAAAATGATGAATTAAAAAAAAGAGAACGAATAAAAGAAAAAAGAGAGATAAAAAAAAAGAATAAAAGAAATTCTTCACAGTTAACCAAGAGAGGTAAACGTACCTTTGTCAACAAGACAATCTGGTCATTTATCAGACATAGCTGACACGGACGGAACGAAGCTGTCGTCACGTTAGACTGGTTCCCGGTTGTGTACATGTTCTTGTGTCACAAAGACAGTCATCGTGTGACCAAACTCGATTTATACTCCAAATATGGTCTGTCACCGAAAAAAAGTGAGAAAAGTGGTACGTCTAGTATTAAACAGGTACGATTATACTAAATTGGTCCACTCCTTCTTCCCACAATAGCCTAAGTTTGTTTGTTTTTGTTATATTTTTTTGTTTAGCTTGTTTTGTTTGATTCACATTATCAGAGCCTGCCTACCTGGTCAAAAAAATAAAATAAAAAATAAATCAATTTCGAAACGACACGAAATTTACTGAGACCAATTCTAGTACATGAACTGGTCTATCGATTTGGCAATAAGCATATAATCTAACAATACGGGTCTATTTTTGTAACAGAACTTTCCCAGTAAGGTAATTAAAACCATCTAAAGTTCGTTATATACATTGATAAGTTTTATATTCTACTTAACAGCCGTCCTAAAGGTGGGATCTTTGGGTTCAATTCTCGAAACATGGTATTTTTACACAATAGCGGAAACTAAATGTTACAAGTATACGTAGGGATCACTCTAAACCAGCCCTTCAAATAAATAATTCTGATTATCTAAAGTTACAAATGTGAGTCAAGTTATTTCAAGTAACTTAACAAATACCTATTTACATTAATACTCATTGCAATAACATTTCTTCAGCGATTGGTTTTGTAGTGTTAACGATAATACCTCTATAATGATTGTTTTCATAAATAATGGATAACTTAGTATCTCCACGGAGATTGCATGGGTCCTTAGAGTATGGCTACCATAGTTTCTGAACGATGCCTGATTACTTTAAAAATATCATAGTAGTTGCTCGAAGAAAGAAAGTGATAACCCACCATGTTATTAGCTATTTAGAAAGTAAACATTACAGCTATTCATGAAGGGTCAGCTAATATAAAAAATAATATTAGTCCTATTTTCACTGATTGCCTACTTACAAATATATGATAATTGGTTTGTTTGTTTTGAATTTCGCGCAAAGCTAAACGAGGGCTATCTGCGCTAGCCGTCCCTACTTTAGCAGTGAAAGACTAGAGGGAAGGCAACTAGTCATCACCACCCACCCCAAGTCTTGGGCTACTCTTTCACAAACAAATAGTAGGATTAAGCGTCACATTATAACGCCCCCACAGCTAAAAGGGGCGAACATGTTTGATGGGACGGGGATTCGAACCCATGATCCTCAGATTGCGAGTCGAGCGCCCTAACATACCCTAAATTCCCTCAATATGTCCTTGGTTCCCTAGAAAATTCATACCATTGTCCTTTATATTATTGGTTACTTAGAAAGAGGGCACAGTAATCCCTCTGAAAAGATCGATAACCTAGAAATTGAAAATAGTTTACATCTACAGTCATTGATTATTTAATAAGTGAACTATGTAGTATCTCCCTCTCTCTCTCCATTGTTGGTTACTTTTGAAAACTACAGTCGGTCTTCAGTTCCACAGCTATCTTTAGAGTGAACACCGCAATTTTCTTGTTTATTTATCACAAAATAAAAAAAATATCTTTCTTTTTCCAGTGGTAATTAGGTTTTTGAGAAAGTGAGCATTTTATACAGACATAGATTATTTCAAATGTGGATACTAGCCACTCTAGAATCATGAGTAATTATTGAAATAAGAAACAAAGTAGATTCCTTACAATTATTGTTTTTTTAAAATATGAACCCCACATATTCCCTCTATAGTAATCATTTCAAGTATGAGAAGCTCAGTCCCCCTATAGTCGTTAATTATATCAAGAATGAACACTATAGTTTCCCTATAATCATTTTTGTTCAAAAAGTAAACACTGAAACCTACCTATAGTTATTGCTTATTTCCCAAGTGAACAATGTAGTCTCTCTACATGATCATTGACTATTCAAAGAGTCAATACCTTAGTTTCTTGCAGTCATTGTTTACTTAAGATTGAATACCTTAGTTTCCTGTAGTCATTTGATATTCAGAGTGAACACTATGCCCTCCCCCAGTTTAACACAATATATATTTAACAATATATCTTTTTAATATTAATATATGAATTATATAATTTATATTAATGGCATGCATTCTCTGTAATATTGTTTTGACACGTGAGCCCTCGAGTTATCAGAAAGCTATCATTAAGATTAGTACAATCATTTTTAAAAAATTCTTAAGAAAAAACAGAATTTTAATTACTAAACGATACCTATTTAAAAGCAAAAATATCTTGTAAAGCCAAGCCAGTCATGGTCTAGTTTCAAGTTATCAATTTTCCACACGATATTATTCAACAGAAATAACAAACATTCACCTCATCTAAAGCGTTCCACTCACCCCATACTTTTTAACCATAAACTATCTGGCAAAAGTACTTAACATTCCATCTCTCGCACGTCGGTTTCTTCATCTCACACTTCGATTAAAACATTAAAAAATTACCTACAGACTTGTTTTTGTTTGTTTGTTTTCATTTGAGACAAAACTTCGCCAACTGGCTTCATCGGGGCTGATAGTATAAAAATTCTTGTACTACTAGCACTGGCGAAACGTTAGCTAAATAAAAAATTATTTCATTATTGTCTGGAGAGTAAAGATCGTTTGTTTGTAACTTTATTGCCAAAATGTTCAATATGTTTATTGCTTTGTTCAAGTGCAAAGCTACACGCTGTATTTGCCAAAGGAATTGAAACCTATATTTTTAGAGTTATAAACCATTTTAACAAGCGATTACTATCTAATTTAATCGAAATATTTTAGCTACTGCACAGAATATAATCACTAATACTATTAATAACTAAATTTTCCATCAAGTATTATAAACATTGCATGTTTTGACTTCTTTTTTTCTCGCAACAACAACAGTTAAATCATTCAAAAAGTTATTTTATATATTTGAATATTTTAATAACAGTAGTCTTAAGGGTTTGAGTTTGATTCTCTACCGGAGCACGGACATATCTATGTTTCACGAACATTCAACTCTTTTCTCACCTTGAGACCGCAATCTGAGGGTCACGGGTTTGAATTCCTGCCCCACCAAACATGTTCGCCCTTTCAGCCGTGGGGGCGTTATAATTTGACGGTCAATTCCACTATTCGTTGGTAAAAGAGTAGCCCAAGAGTTGGCGATGTGTGGTGATGACTATTTGCTTTCCCTCTAGTCTTTCGCTGCTAAATTAGGGACGGATAGTCCAGACAGCCCTCGTGTAGCTATGCGCGAAATTTAAAACAAACCAAACCACCTTGAGACGCTGTACTACATCTCTGTGTCACTTATTGATATTGATCACAATATATTACTCTAAAGAAATGAAAATGATTTCTTTAACAAACAGAACCTTGTACCACGATTATAAATTTAAGTACGTTTCTGTGTGAACGTAATAACGTTGAAAGGTCTTGAATACTACAGTGAAAGTTGGCATGATTAGAAAACACGATAACTTTTAAACTTAGTTTCAAATATTAAAGGGCCCGGCATGGCCAGGTGGTTAAGGCACTCCACTCGCAATCTGAGGTCGCGGGTTCAAGAGTTGGCGGTGGGTGGTGATGACTAGCTGCCTTCCCTCTAGTCTTACACTGCTAAATTAGGGACGGCTAGCGCAGATAGCCCTCGTGTAGCTTTGCGCGAAATTCAAAAACATACAAACAAGAAACAAACAAATATTAAAGTCACTTGTCGACGATCAAGAACAAAATTTGAAAATATGAATTTCACACTTTCACTACACTCATCCAATTTAAAAACAGCACTATAAAATAAGACGTCGATCATATAATGAGTTTTATATTTTCCAACTTGTTATAAATTATAGAGTTATAGGTTTCTAAACACTGAACATTTTGTCCACAAACATGATACCAATGTTTCGAATGCATGTTAAAACGTATACATTAATTACTACGTTATATTTGTCCAACTTACGATGAGTCACTTCAATAAAGAATCGAGCCAGGCGTAATCTAGTGTTTAGGATGCTCGGACTGCGAATGCAAAGGTTTACAGTTCGCGGATCGTTATCATAAAAGCGCTTTCTGCGCTTTAATTCAATAAAGTAGTTATAACAGTGACGGTCAAATCTCGCTATTCGACCAACAGATAGTATACAGCACTCACTGCCAAATATCGGTCTGTTCCCTTGCCTCTTGTTTATCTATCAGTTCAAAGAAATGAACAGACCGATATTTGGCAGTGAGTGCTGTATACTATCTGCCTTGCCTCTTGTTTATCTATCAGTTCAAAGAAATGAACAGACCGATATTTGGCAGTGAGTGCTGTATACTATCTGCCTTGCCTCTTGTTTATCTATCAGTTCAAAGAAAGGAACAGACCGATAATTGGCAGGGAGG